GACGTAATCCATTTGGATTTTGCTAAGGCATTTGATAAGGTTCCTCACAATAGGTTACTGGGCAAAATAAAAGCAGTTGGTTTAGATACAAATTATTGATCGTGGATTTTACATTGGTACAAAGAATAGATGAGAAGGGAACATTTTTAATTTATACCAAGATGGTAGGTGGAATCCCTCAGGGGTTTGTTCTTTATTCCCTTCTCAACCAACTTTTTTTTTTTTAATAATTTTGCAACATTAAAAGGCATGAGTCGGGGGGCGGAGCCAAGCTGCAGAGCAGAGAAGTCGCATGGCAATGTAGCTCCTGCAATTTCATGCCAAAACACCCAAACCAAACGACAAAAAAACTTCCAAAACAGCCTCAAATCCCAGGCAATAACAGGGGAAACGACATAGGATGGAAAAGCAAAAAGCAAAAGCCCGACCAGCCCAGACTTGGCCTCGATATCGGAGCCATGTGGCAACAGGCCCACGGAGCGTCTGGGCCCAAGGTGGCCGAATACCCAGAGACTTACTCTGACCTGTCGGATGACTTCTCCCAAGGTGAGGACACACATCACTCTCCCAGTCCACCGGCAGCCAAAGCCACACCACCAGACCCAGATAGTGAACCAGTCACTACAGCGGTGCTCAAGGCATTACTGGCAGGCCTACAGACCACGATCCAGGCAGAAATGGCAGGCCTCCGCACAGAACTCCGGGGAATAACCAGGAGACTGGACACCCTGGAGGATTCCTCCGCCGCCACGGCTACCCACATTGCCTCCATGCAATTGGAGATAAGGGGTCTGCAGAATAAAACAGAGGCTTTTGAGCGGCGATTCGCCGCACTGGAAGACACACACAGAGCGACCAACATAAGGGTAAGGGGAGTACCAGCCGACATGCCGGCAGAGGAACTGCCGCACTTCGCGCGGAGGCTCCTGGCAGCGCTGCTACCAGCACGGAAAGCCAAAGCAATAAGCCTGGACGGAGTTCACAGAGTTCCCAAACCGACCAAAGCCCCACCAGCGGCTACCAGGGACATTATACTCCGCTGCCACATTCAGATAATGCAAAATGTAACAAACTGATTAATCCATAGTGTAATATAAAGAACACAGCAAGTGAGTCCACATAGTGTTCCTGTGGCCTGCAAATAATTCTCAAGCTTAAAGGTACACTATAGTCACCAGAACAACTACAGCTTATTGCATTTGTTCTGGTGAGTAGAGTCATTACCTTTAGGCATTTTGCTGTAAATACTGTCTTTTCAGAGAAAATGCAATGTTTACATTACAGCCTAGTGATAACTTCACCGGCCACTCCTTAGATGGCTGTAAGAGATCCTTCATGGGTCATGGCTGCCTGAAATGCATCCAAACATTCAGTGTCTTCTCCCTCTGTATGCAGACACTGAACTTTCCTCATAGAGATTCATTGATTCAATTCATCTCTATGAGGAGATGTTGATTGGCCAGGGCTGAGTTTGACTTGTGCTGGCTCTGCCCCTGATCTGCCTCATTGACAGTCTCAGCCAATCCTATGGGGAAGCATTGTGATTGGCTCAGAACAACACTTCTGATGATGTCAGCAGACAGCTTGCAGGTCTGAGGCAGACAAGGGCAAAGCCAGCAGCTTCCGTTTGAATACAAGTAAGATTTTACAATATTTATGGAGGCAAGAGAGGGCCTGGAGGGCCAGATGGTGGCTTTAACACTATAGGGTCAGAAATACATGTTTGTGTTCCTGACCCTATAGTGCTCCTTTCAAAAGGGTATTGATTAAAAAAAATTAAAGGTAAAAAAATGTAATCGTGATTCTTTATAAATCAATGGTAAGACCTGAATTGGAATTAGAAAGAGTACATAGTCAGGCTACAAAATTAATAAAAATAAAAGACGATTTTGGCTATAAAGAAAAGCTAGTTTTATCCAGAACATACAGCTTATTTATTAATAGAACATTGTAGGACTATACAAAGGGCAACCATTTAGACTGAAATAAAGTAGATTTCACCTACAGTAGAGGAAAGGGATCTTTACATTAAGAACAAAAACTTGTCAAATTCTGCCTAAAGCATTTGTTGTATCAGATTGACAGATTTAAAAAAAAATTTGATTACAATTTTTTTTTTTTTTTAGAAAAACAAAATATTTAAGGATATAATAGTTTATTTGCAAGTAACAGAATGTAGATTCAAGGACAGTTCTGTATTCCTAATATTGTATTGTATGACTGCCTATATTTCACACATTTGTGTTTTTTCTCTTCTTGTAGCCAACATTCTACAATCTGATAACTAGATAACAGAAAGCATCAGTCTGTTTGAGTGGTGACTTGTGAAACTGACATTTTATCATTCTCTCCTGTAGAGTTTCTGAAGGGTTTTGAAGCGTTGCAGGTATGTGCTGCTAATACACCAGTGCTCCGACTATAGTTTGCTCTCAGCAGTTTCAAAGTGTTATTTCAAATCATATTCAGCGAGCATTATTGCCAGATTCCATTGACTCAATCACCTGCACTCCAGGGTAACCAAGATACTTATGTCTGGTGCTGTTCTGCAACGTACACATTACAGTTCAAATGATAGCACTCCAAGGACGACTTTTGTCATTTAAAACTAAAACTTTGCTTTTATTTAACTCTTACAAAATACAGAAAACAAATTGATGTTTCAGGTAAAGTTATATTTGTGTGCATAATATATTTTTTTTATTTCCCAAAGACGACTAACTAGGGGGAAAAGTAATAAATCCTACCGACTAATTCTGTAAATTTAAATAAAACTTAGCTTTGTATGGAATCATATTAAAGGAACACTATAGTCCCCTAAATTACTTTAGCTAAATAAAGCAGTTTTAGTGTATAGATCATTCCCCTGCAATTTCACTGCTCAATTCACTGTCATTTAGGAGTTAAATCACTTTGTTTCTGTTTATGCAGCCCTAGCCACACCTCCCCTGGCTATGATTGACAGAGCCTGCATGAAAAAAAAACTGGTTTCACTTTCAAACAGATGTAATTTACCTTAAATAATTGTATCTCAATATCTAAATTGAACTTTAATCACATACAGGAGGCTCTTGCAGGGTCTAGCAAGCTATTAACATAGCAGGGGATAAGAAAATCTTAATTAAACAGAACTTGCAATAAAGAAAGCCTAAATAGGGCTCTCTTTACAGGAAGTGTTTATGGAAGGCTGTGCAAGTCACATGCAGGGAGGTGTGACTAGGGTTCATAAACAAAGGGATTTAACTCCTAAATGGCAGAGGATTGAGCAGTGAGGCTGCAGGGGCATGTTCTATACACCAAAACTGCTTCATTAAGCTAAAGTTGTTCAGGTGACTATAGTGTCCCTTTAAAAAAAAAATATATATATATATATATATATTTATTTTTTTTAATTTTTTTTTAAATCAGCATAATAAAAATGATAAATCACTAATTAACATATATGAACTAAATCCTCACCTCTAAGTACGAGAGACAAAGTGTAGCTTGTTAGTGTTAAGAAAAATAGTACAAAAAGCTGAACTTAGCAATTGATAAAGCCTAGAGGGAGAGAAATAGATACAAAACTTCCAAGGATTGAAAGCTGTAACCATAATCACAGGGGGAAAAAAGGAAAATAAACAGTGTGGGTTAATTTAATGCTACTCATGTGGATAGTTTAGCTTTATAGGAGAGAAACCTCTAAAATAACTAAACAAAATACCCCATATCACCTAAATTTCCAACCTGAATCTGTAATATTTTAAATAATTTTTCTATATATGAAATTTAAATTGTGATTAACCGTACAACTCTGTACATTTATATGTGAGGATATTCATACCACGAGGGACAATTATATATTCGGACATGTTATACTAAGATATTAAACCCCCCACTAGTTCTTATCATTCTCTTCTTTGTTGTGTGTTTGTCTTTTTTGTGGTTAAAGGGACACTCCAGGCACCCAGACCACTTCTGCCCATTGGAGTGGTCTGGCTGCCAACTCCTACTACTCTTAACCCTGCAAGTGTAATTATTGCAGCTTTTTATAAACTGCAATAATTACCTTGCAGGGTTAACTCCACTAGAGGGCACTTCCTTGTTTCTAGCACAGGAAACCTGTGCTAGAGCGTTGCACGCTGTGTGAAGACCTCCAGCGTTGCTCATTTCTCCATAGGAAAGCATTGAAATGCATTTTCAATACTTTCCTATGGGGAGCGCTAATGCGCATGGGCGGCATTGCCGCACATGCGCATTAGGTCTCCCCGGCCGGTGGGCGGGATCAGTCTCCCCCACTGGCCGACGCAAGCAGAGGGAGGAGCGGCGCAGAGGAAGAAGCAGCGACGCGGGACATCGTCGCTGCCTCAGGTCTCTGTGTCACTATATATCTGGTAAAAGATGTATATAGGAGAAGCCTCTGTAAGGACGTTGGAAACCACGCTCAGATAGGCAGTATTAGGCATTCACCAATAGGGTATACATCGTTGAACTTCTATTACTGCCTGTAAGTGTATCTCTCTTAGTGGCATCGGAGTACAAATCCCTGCAGCACCAAGAGACCTAGTGGTCTGTTTTCAATGTGAAAGAGAAAGGGCTGCGACTCACATTCTATACAGACTTCTCTGGAGGCACACTGGCCTGGAGAAGATCACTTTCACCCTTTACAGCCCTGCTCCAAAAGCTCCAACTTCAATATCGATGGCGTGTGGCGCGCACACGCATGGTCCTTAAGGGTGAAGAAAAGTACACCATACACAACGTGGAAGATGCATGGGCACTGATGGCTACTTTGGGTCTTCCCAAGGACTCTATAGCACCTGCAGAAACTCGCATAGCAACCCAGGGACCTCACAGGTGGGACCCGGCGACGGCAAAACCCTTCATTCCTCAACAGTCCACATAGGACTTTTCTTCAGTCAACCCCACTTGACTCGCCTCGCAGGGAGATCTACTCTATATAGGTGTGGCTCTACTATAATTATGCTTTAATGTTACTTACTTTTATTTTTCATATATGTGATCCTTAGTTAATAACACGATGGCATGTATCTTAGGTTTGTTCCCTAGATGATAACACTACGGCATGTATCACAGGTTCAAACAACCACCCTCAGCTCTAAAAGCTCAACTAGCTAACTAATACCCCCCCCAAACTCCCGAGAGCAACGGGATTGAGCAAGCACCTAACAGGCGTAAAAATGACGTGATCAAGCTATACATTCTATCACTCACTACAGGTTAAACTTATTTTGCACAAGAGATGACCGGTAACATAGACATTAGTCAGGATGTATCTAGTCCCAAGCGTTAAATCCACGTATTACTTCTTAAAAACCTCAATCCACTGTAATTAGTTCGTAATTAGGGATGCACTGAAATGCAAATTCTAGGCCGAAACGGAAACCGAAAACCTTAACCGAAAATGACTTTTTTCCACCTAATGATTTTAAAATGTTTTTTTTTCGGAGGCAGAACCAAACCGGCTAACAGACTAGTCGCACACTACACAAGCTCCTGCAGTGAGGGCCCAAAAACTACAAATACCTCGAGTTGAAACGATGGTGGCTACCCACAACTAGGCTCCTTGAATAGAAGAAGAATCCACGGTCCTGCCAGTAACATTCATGCCACCTAACTTGACCGGGACCCGCAGCAGCAACATGAGGCCTTGCGGAGGCACGGGGGATGGACGGCCACTTTCCCGCCAGATGCCGATCGCACCAAGCGCGCAAAACTCACTCACCCCCCCCGGACCGATGGGGTATATCTCGGTCCCCATCAGAGGGACCGCTCCGGGCTCCGCGCCAAGCGCAACGATCTTCCTAAACAAAGTGGAGGAAGGGGCCCTCAAGATGGCGGCTCAACATGACAAGCAAGGGTCAGACAAGCGACGGCAACAACATACCGCAGTACAATCTAAAGACAGCACAAGAGACTCTGTCGCAATAATATTGGACTGCTTTTGGGCCAAGCTAAGGGCATGCATGCAGCCTGAAGCACCATGCCAACAAATGGCCACTGGGGTCGGAGCCAGAGGCGGACGGAAGACTGGGGATATTCACAAGGGCACCTCCACGACCCATGCTCCAAGAGTTCAAGTCCAGGGTCCTCCTGGGCTGAGAGCACCACAGGGCATGACCCGAAGGTGCAGGTCACACTGGTGGAGTAGCACAACGACGATGTAAGCGACTGACTTCAACTCCCCGACCCTGGGCCCCGCAGGCTCGTGGTCTCCAAGCACCAGCTCTCCCACAGCATTTCCCACCCCCAGGACATCGAGGCTCTGCCCAGCGGAAACAGAACCCAGGTGTGAGACCCAAACCCGGCAGGCACTCGATACCTAGTGGCCGAAGGACATGCCGCAAAGGTACAGCAAACCGAGCCTCAAAATGGCGGCGGACCAAGCGGAGAGCACCTTCCCAGCACAAGACGCCAAACACTCACATGAAACACCGCCAAGAACATAAAGCGCAACTGACGAGCACGACCATACAAGCTCACTCAGCAACCCCGGGGTCCGGAGGTCTGCTAGAGAGTTCACCACACCTACAGCAGAACTGTGTTAAGCTTCTTTCTGTTCTCCCATTCAGTGGCATAATGAACCCATACGCACCTTAACCTCATACCCCCCAGTCCGGGACGGCTTGTACCTATTCATGAGCACAATGCCCTCATTTTGAGCCCATATAGTGAGAGCATCTATCTCAAAACACAGCTGATCTAAAATTCTAGCCATGTATATGTCCTCATGCTTAAGCTTATATCCACCTCTATAAGATGCAGCCGCATCAGCCTGTTAAATATACTGTAGCCGTCAAGAAATTGCTAGATCTATTAGACTGTGCTGTCAGGATATTGCTGATTCCACTGAGCTGCACCACCAAGATATAGCTAGACCTGTTAAGCTGTACTCTCAGGATTTTGCTAGATCTGCTAGGCTATACTCCCAGGATTGCTAGCACTGCTAAGCTGTATCGTCAGGATAATGTTAGATCTGTCAGGCCGTACCGTCAGGACATTGCTAGATTGGCTAGGCTGTACTGTCAGGATGTTTTTAATTCTGCTAGGCCATATTGTCAAGATATAGCTGGATCTTCTAGGCTGTACTATCAAGATATTGCTAGACCCGTCAAGATGTGTTAATACTAAGCATTACTTAAATTCTTATCTTTCTGTTCAAACTCGGTCAATCTCTTTTTAACAAAAAACTGTGCACGTACCCCTGAATACCCCATTGTTATAAATGATGAAAATAAGCGTGAGGAATGTCATTGGGGTACCTTACGCGTGTTGTTATACTTCATTGCACTGCAAAAATAAATGTGAAAAAATAAAAAATGTGAAAAAATAAAAAATGTGAAAAAATAAAATGATTTTTTTCTATACATTTTATTAATATTAGACTTTTTTTTTTTTTTTTTATTCTTTATTTTTGAGTGCAGAGGTAAATATACGTTTCAGCAATATAACATGGCTTTAGAAAAAGATTGACAATGTTCCGTTTAGCATATTCATGGTGTTCTGCACTTTTTTTCTTTTTTTAACAGGGTTAATATCAAGATATAAAACAGGCTTGTCAACATTTTCTGTTGTATGTATTATAACAGGAGATAGTTTTCTTCCAAGCACATCTGAGAGGAGTGGTGGGTGTTAGGTGTCTCGAGAAGATAGGCTCTTAGGTGTGCCCTTATGATGTGTGAGAGGGTCGTATGAGGTTCTGTGTGGAGGTTTGCGGTGGCATCCCATGTGTATGCCTGTGGTATTCTGAGGGAGTTCCCCGGTGTGTGGGGTGTCATTTGCCTGGTGGCTGCGATATTAGGGTACGTGGCCAGGAGCTCTGCCAAGGCTTCTGAGGGGAGATGTGTGACCTCCTCTTTATGTGTTGCCCCTAACCCAAGGTGTGGGGGGGGGGTGGGAGGTGTTGCAGTGTCAGTGTGCCTCAAGGAGTTTGTCTCTGCAGGTTCTAGCGCTCTGGTAGAGCAGTGGTCTGGAATGTGTGTAAGAGAGATAAAGAGAAATCAGAAAACCAAATATACAAATGCAACTTAAATCAAAACAGGTATAGCGACTTGTGTCGAATTTGTCCCAGAAGTTTCTATTCCGGTGTCGTGGCCATATGCATTGGCCCAGTCCCCATTAGTTGTCAGCCGTCCGTTGCCTGTGGTCCTCCGGCTCTCGGGACAAAGGGGGTGATGTGGTCAGGGTCCCACGTGCCCCTAGGGGTGGTCGACAGTGGGTCCTGATGGCTATCCATTAGTCCCAGGGCTTGGATGAAGGCCGGTGCCCCCTCTATTGATGTGAGTGTGTGATTATTTCCATTGTGAGTTACCACAAGCGTTCCTGGGGCTCCCCAGCGGTAGGGTATGGCTGCAGATCGTAGCTGAGAGGTGACTGTGCCCAATGACTTCCTCCAGATTAGGGTATTTTTGGTGAGGTCTTGATAAAATGTTAACGAGGAGCCTTCGAAGTTTAGAGGTGTTTTATTCTTCAGTGCCATCATGATCTGGTTCCTGTCTTGTGAGGTTAAGCAGCGGAGAATAACGTCTCGTGCTGTTCCCGTTGGTGTTTTAGGTGCGCCCGAAATGCGATACACTCCGTCCATAACCATCTTTTTGGCCGTTGTGTGGGGTAGTATGGATGTGATTAATCTACGTATGTAATGAGGAAGTTCCTCTGCGGTCACCGCTGCAGGGATGCCACGGATTTTTATGTGGTTCCTGCGCTGTTTATCCTCCAGGGCTGTGATTTGGTGTGTCAGTGTGACTTGAGTGGTTTGCAATTTTTGTACTGTCTCTTTAAGGGCCCCAATGTCAGTTCTGGTAGCTAGTATGTCCTTTTCAGAGGTTTGTACTCTGTCAGTTATGGCCTGTATATCAGTTCTCAGTGCCCTGAGGTCAGCAGTCCACACTTGTTGAATGTCATTAAGTAGGAGTTTTAAATCCTGCTTTGTTGTGGGTGCAGACCCGTCCGGGTCGTCAGTTGTGTGTAGTAGACTTGCCTGGGTGGTTGGTGCAGCCTCTTGTCTGTCCTGCGCCCGGTTCTCCTCGTTCCGGTCTCCAGCAGGGGTCAGCTTAGGCTGCACGGGCTGTCTCAGCATGTCCCCAATGTCTCTGCCGTCAGCCACTGTGTTTGGCTTTTGGGATCGTCTCCCCATTGCAGTCCAGTGTTCCGGTTGCGGCAGAGAGGTTGTGGACTCCGTTCCCTGCGGGTGCAGTATGGTGCTGCCGTGGAGGAGTGCTTCCAGTCCCAGGCTCAGAGGTGTGCTGTAGGCCGCGGATTTTCGCCGCGGTTTGGAGTGCTTTGTCGTGTGAAAAAAAGGCATCTATCGATGCGTTATGGCTCTGGGGACCCAGTTGTGGCAGTAAGACGGTCGGATGGGCTATAGTTGCTTGGATATTTGGTCGGATTTAATCAGTTGTTTGGGAGCTCTCAGATATGGCGTCCGTTTGTCAGGCTTGCAGGCTCCGCCCCCCCAATATTAGACTTTTTAATGAATGTGATGAATCTAATATGAAAAGCTTCCCTTCTTCCTTCTCTTTTTGTGGTCCCCCCTACCCCAGTGTTCCTTTTCCCTTCCCTGTACCTTAGTCCCCCCCTTAATGTTCCTCTCCTTCACCCTTCTGGTGTTCCTCTCCCCTCTCTCTTTTTTAGTGTTCTTTCCTCCCCCCCCCCCTGTCCCATAGTGTTCTTCCCCCTTCCCCTGTCCCATAGTGTTCTCCCCTCCCATGTACCCATATAGTGTTCTTCCCTCCCATGTACCATAGTGTTCTCCCCTGACCCATAGTGTTCCCCCTGTCCCATAGTTTTCCCCTCCCATACCCCATAGTGTTCTCCCCTGCCCCATAGTGTTCTCCCCTGTCCCATAGTGTTCTTTCCCCACTCCACTGTCCCACCCTCCCCTGTCCCATAGTGTTCTTTCCCCCCTCCCCTGTCCCAAGTCTAGCATTCTTGACTTTTCATGTTATCATTACTATCTTTCATTGTGATATATAATCATCTAAATTGTCAATGCAAGCATGTCTGTTAAACAATACACTACAAAAAAAATAATAATAATTTCGGCAAATTTGACCAGTTTTCTGCAAAAATGGGATATCCCTTTTCGTAATACTATGTCTGATATCCATGTGTAACCTTGCCTTTAAATATTGTATTCTATGATGTGTCTTGACAGTGGTTTGATACCAAAAATAAAGAATCTAAAAAACAAAAACAAAAAAATAAATGTTCTAGGCTACGAAACACAAGACTTGTAAGCAATTCCAATACCGGAGTCGATCACATGCACCCCACTCATGTTGCCCATGTGAACAATCACTTTCCTATTAGCCAATTCATCACAGCTAGAATCCATCAATAGGTCCTGCTGATTTGTAAGTCCTCTCCTTCCTCCTTAATTTAAGTACCCTCCATGATCCACACCAATGTATCTTACATAATCCAGCCCCCAATCCATGGACATCATTCAGGTTTCTCCTTCCCCAGGTGTCCAGGGGAATCCTGGACCGATTGCATTCTTTTGAAATTTGCCCTTAAAAAAAAAACACAAAAAAACCCACTCTTCACACACAAAGCCTGTCAACAAGCTAAAGTGCTTCATGGGTTCCGGAGTGTATGCTTAGCAAGGCTGTCAGTATTCCCATCTCACCTTGCGTTATTTCAGAAAAGGGCAGAGTAGGCAGTGCTAAGATATAGATTCTGAGAATACATTTTTATAGATGTGCTTATTTATTGATTGCTTCAAACCTTGAAAGGATCAGAGAAATTCTATTGTTTCTTTTTTATTAACATAAATATTGAGAATTTAGCTTAAGCTCTGGGCACTCTGACAATGAGAAGATCCTTTAAAAAAAACAAAAAAAAACAGTTGCCCATATAGTATATATATATATATTGTTTTGTTGTTGTTTTATAAAAAATTCTTGTCTGTTTTGAGATGGGATGAAACATCCTTTGCCCATGAGAGTACATGTCTGGTGACATTCATATAGAGAATGTCAAGATGTCAATAAGCATTAAACATTGTGATCTGACGTTGCTTTATCTTGTTCTGCCACCAGGGTATCTTTGGGCATGTAACTTCAAACCTATATTAATCTAAGATCATATATCCCACTTGTATTTTATTGAATTTCATCTTGCAACATAGCAAACCCTTTAGTGTACTTTGCCGCGTTCTGATATATTTGCTGAAAAATGGAAGCTCCTGTATGTCTGCATTTCTGCGCTCTATCCGGTTTCTTTACTCAAATGAAAATTCATGTTGAATTTCAAATTTAAAGCATTACTGCAGCTTTAAGCTTTGAAAACACTGCACAAAGATAGGTTAAGCCCTTAGCTGCAAGAGTAACTCCACTTCCGGCAGCATCATTAGCTAGTTCCATGCTCGCTGGTGTCAACTCTGTGCAAAATTGGCAACTGACGCCAACACTCACAGCATGCTGGTGCCAGGCAGCCAATGGAGGCCCTGGAATGCTTCAGCCCAAATCGCTAAAGCTCGATTCGGGTTTCTCAGGAACTTCTTCCACCCAGGACCAGGCTGCAGCTCTCTCCTGCCAGGCAGGTATGGTCCTCTCTGCCTTTTCCTCTTCTGCATTTTTCCCAGGCAGGCAGCCACACCTTTGACTATACTGTGGTCAGATACCGCCTTTACAAAAACACTTGTGGCTTTCAGGACAAGCTCTATTCGATGGTCCTGGTCCACAGGGACCAAGCAGCCAGCCAACAGGTCTGAAAACTGTTACTGGCGTCCCTGAAATAAACAACCAGGACACACTCACAAACACAGAAAAGGAACTTATACACGCAACTTTACTTTTTCTCTCTAGCCCACACGCACATTACGGTAAACTTACTGTGGCAACCTCAATAACATACAAATAACCAGATCATATGGGGAAACACACAGGAACTCGGAATAACCCATTAACACATTGATACTGTGGTGGGGAAGACGATAACAAACAAGAAATATCTCCCCTGCCTGCAAAATTTATAAAATGCAAACCTACCCAGATATACAAATTAACTAGCCTTGCAATTCAGGTAGTGCATATACCTGAATAGTTTATTTCACAATAAATAAATACATTATACACACCTTGCACCTATAATGGGTACAGGGTGACTAAAACATAAATAAATCCCTCAGTAACCCCATATTGTGTGTTTAGTATATTTATGCTATATACTATAGTGTGTGTTGTAGTGTGTATTTTTTTCCTATACAAAACTTGGTGGTAAGATTTATGCTACCAATATGGAACAGAAGCAGTGTGTCCTACTACCTCCATTGATAATCCCATTGCTGCACAAACTCATTTTGGTGACACTAGGACTAGTGTTACAGCTCATTCACAGCTACTGTGCCCAGGTCCCTGATTGTGGTACCTCTCGCCTCCATACACATCTACTTACACACTATGCTGATAAGATAGAGAAGATAGGCATCACTCCTTTATATTTACCTGCTCACATTTTATCCTCAGCACTACCAAAATATATGTTCTTTGATGAGGATGATGATTGGTGCTGGAGTTGCTGGACACCAAGAGATTTGATTCATACCCTTATATAGTTCCTTTTTGGAAGAGAATATATAATGCTATCACCATACTGACGACCAACAACTTGTCCTTTACCCCTACGGACTTATTGCTTATTTGCTGACCAAAGTTTAATAAAAATACACTCAACACATGGACCATTTAAAATACATCATACAGGAAAGTGCTCCTGGCTTTCAGAAATAGTCACACACCATGTAACCACAATTACAACTGTACCCCTTATTATGTTGAATAATCCAGACTTCATACATTTTCTTCTATTCCCCCAAAGGCGTGGTATCCTCCCTCACTGCTGTGTCTTCCTTTTCTCTTTTGTTCCTAGTTCATTTATTCCCTGTAACAATCTAAAACAAAAATGTATTTGTTTCTATGGAACCTATAATTACTCAATAATATTTCACATAGAGAATGCACTCTATGCATTCTCTATGTGGCCTCAGATCTTCAACCCCTTAAGGACACATGATGGAAATGTTCCATCATGATTCCCGCTTATTTTTGAAGTTGTGTTCTTAAGGGGTTAAATTGCGTATGTGCTAAAGTTGGCTTCCCCTTAGAACAAAGTAGCTGGCTATACACTATAAAGTTTATCAACGGGAATGGGGCTTGACCGCCATGCCAAGCAGACGCATGGAGACTGACCTACTGACTTAGATTGTCGCAACAAATGCAATCATGCCTTCCCAGTAGATGCTTTGCAGTGCCTGGGAATCACTGGGCTCTTTAATGGTGCACCTATGATAATCGCTGCTGTGGAACTGAAATTTTCCTGATTTGCAGCCTTGTGTGGACTCGCTAGACTGAAGGAGAGTCATGTATCCCACCCTTTGGACCTGTGAGGGTTATCCCGGTCACAAACACAAAAGTATGTGATACTCACCAATAACCTGGTCATATCCACGGCTTTCTGTGGTACACCGCTACTCTAAGACTAAAATGGCGGCAGACCATACAATCCTACAGCAGGTGGCCACTGATTCATTGCAGACCTATTTTTTTTTTAAATTACAGTTATGTATTATAAAAATGTTTTGGGGTGGTTTTGCTCTCTTTAGCTATCACTTTCTAATTTTCTTGTTTAGCCCATGAAATCACCTTTTTGCATGCATTATTGGCTTACATACACCCTATTAAGAATGCTTCTGATTTGTCTGATTTAAATGCTATAAATGACTTTTTTATTTTTTATTTCTTGTTTAACCTTCCCAGTAAGCCAGGGGAACAAGGCCTCCAGGAGCAGGACACAAAGAAGCAAGGCCTCTATGAGCAGGACACAGGGGAACAAGGCCTCCAGGAGCAAGACAAAGGGAACAAGGCCTCCAGGAGCAAGACACAGGGGAACAAGGCCTCCAGAAACAGGACACAGGGGAACAAGGCCTCCAGAAACAGGACACAGGGCAACAAGGCCTCCAGGAGCAAGACACAGGGGAACAAGGCCTCCAGAAACAGGACACAGGGGAACAAGGCCTCCAGAAACAGGACACAGGGCAACAAGGCCTGCAGGAGCAGGACACAGGGGAACAAGGCCTTCAAAAGAAGGACACAGGGGAGCAAGGCTTACACACACACACACACACACACACATGCGCGCGCACACACACGCGTGCATATTTCTACCCAGTATTAGAAAGATATACCTTATATAATGGCTACAGAGTATATGCATAGCGTATGCACTACATAATAGTGTTATAAATCTTAAGTTTAAGTGTGACTGTTGATAATACAAGTTTTGAGCATAAAGAAAAAAAATCTTTATTACTTACATTATTACATTACACTTACATTATTCAAACACAAAGCAATGTGAAGAGGACCCTCTAATTCTATTTAAGCATTGCTTGCAAGCAGCATGCATTGCATAGAGCTTAGAAAATGTACATCTCATGGTTGCCAAGCAACCACTTAGATGGCACACAGTCGCAATGAGACAATATACCGGTACCATTAGGTTAATATTGAATCTGATGATAATAATAGAGAAGCTAATCTTAAAATCGGGTTGTGTTAAAATGTTCATAGGCATGAAGATGTAGTGTTCGTGAATAAAGAAAATCCTGCAGCTTTGATACATGGGAAAAGCCTATGCTAGATTCAGGTTTGTTTTTTTGTGTGGAACAATTAAATAAAATCCTCAAAGACTACCCATGCCTCCCAAACAGTGTGATATAAGAAAGCAAGATGGGGAGTGGGGCATGTTCACAAGCAGGACTGCTAGGCAGCCAACCAGGGGACACATGCATAGAGCAACTCAGAAGATCTCTTGCATGGACACCAAGGTCTTGGAAAAGCCCCAGATCCGTGGGTCTCTCTGTAATGCTTAGGAGTCGCATAACCCTTCTTCAGAACCAATCCTTATTCAGAACTTTAAATTATTTATTAAACTATTGCTATCCACAGAATGTATACAACATTTGTACAAAATACAGATTAAGAAATGCGCACTCAAAAATACAGTTTTACATTTTACAAAGTTACTTAAAGGACCACTATAGTGCCAGGAAAACATACTCGTTTTCCTGGCCCCACCCTCAGGGACCCCCTCCCGCCCGTCTCTGGAAAGGGGAAAGGGGTTAAAACTTACCTTTTTCCAGCGCTGGGCGGGGATCTCTCTGCCTCCTCTCCTCCTCCGATCCTCCTCCTGGGCTGAATGCGCACGCGCGGCAAGAGCTGCGCGCGCATTCAGCCCGTCGCATAGGAAAGCATTTACAATGCTTTCCTATGGACGCTTGCGTGCTCTCACTGTAAAAATCACAGTGAGAAGCATGCAAGCGCCTCTAGTGGCTGTCAATGAGACAGCCACTAGAGGATTAGGGGGAAGGCTTAACCCATTAATAAACATAGCAGTTTCTCTGAAACTGCTATGTTTATAAAAAAAATGGGTTAACCCTAGAAGGACCTGGCACCCAGACCACTTCATTAAGCTGAAGTGGTCTGGGTGCCTAGAGTGGTCCTTTAAAATCATGTCAGTAAACAAATATGGGCGTACAGTTCCACTTAAATACTAATTTGCATTTGATATAGAACATGCATGGTTAGTATATACATCAATGTACTGTCACTGAGACTGTATTTTTTTTCAAATTGTGTTTTTAATCACATCATTTTGCATTATTTACATATGTTCACAATGCTCTAACAACAAGTTAATTAAATATACTTAGTTCATTTAGCACTATTTAATTTGTCTCCCACATTGGAATTCTTGTAGGACACACCGATATTGGGGTACTGTGGCATGGAGGTGAGCTTACCACAATACAGCCATACAGTGGAACTGAATCCCCATATTTGTTTGCTGAGTTAGGTGATAAGTAGCCTCGTAAAACTGACAACTGTATTTTTGTGTGTGCTGTTTTTTAATCTGTATTTTATATAAATGACGGTCTCTGCACCGGCACCATTGCTGAGAAATTTATGTTTTCCGGTTATCAGCCAGGCACTCGTGCATGCTGGGCTGACAGGCAGTATTACATGTCAGACAACCAGTATTGCCCATTCATAGGGTTGCTGAAGGGCCCTTACATCAGCATAAATATTCTCTAACATTCTGGAATCTTATGGGAAACCAGAGTACATTTTTATAAGTTGCTGCAGGTAGACACCAGCCACCTCACTTTGAACAACTTTAATGTTTCTCCAGGTAGTTTGTTTCAGGCTTTCCCCAGTGAAATCTTTAAAACAAAAATAATTTTTAATTATTTTACTTAATGCCGATTTTACCTCGCCGTGCCGTGGGCTTCTCCTCATGTGAGGTCATCCTAAAGGTGTGCCTCCGGGATGTTGGTATATTCCACTGCTCCTCTATGACCATAGGTGTATGCGCAGCACTCACAGCAATCCACCATTAATTCCTGAATGCATCATGCTATGCCTGGGAATGAGAGCTGGGAAGTAACAGTACCAGTTCTCCAACTCAGAAACTTGTAGCTGTGTCTCCAAGCCTTCAATCTATTAAAATATTACATTTTGGTGGTTAGGAAACCAGCTCACCTCTCTTAGGAAGCGTGGCTGAGCCACGACCGAAGATCTTTTGTTTAACACAAGATCCTCTACCATGGTTCACGGCTCGGCCACGCTACATGTGGTGACTGGCTGGAGGGAGCGCTGTGCAGGGCGCTCCCCTCCTCCTGGCCTACCTAACACTGCACACCCAGTGTTGATGCGCCCTAGGCGGCTGCCTAGTTTGCCTATAAATCGCACCAGCCATGGTTACCGACATTCTGGACATCCATTGGCCAGGTAGAGATGGCAAGACTCTGTTGTGCTGTGAAAAAGAAGGCATGAGATACCATGAGGCACAGAAACAAGGCAAAAGGCACTGTGCAGAGGGTCAAAAGGACCTGGCAAAAAGGGTGATGGTGACAGATATTGTGCCAGTGGCATAGCTCTCCATGTTCACTTACAATAGATTAACAAGAGGTGAGGTAAGAGCATGAGATCATGCAGAGGTCTATTTACAGCTGTATACCCTTTAACTCTGGTAGCTATATCTCCACATCCTTATAATGAATTACCACCTGCCAAACTAAAGCAGGAGTGTGACAGAGGGATGGAGGCCCCATCCATAGAAATATTTTGTGACCTCACCAATTCCTTTTTTAGCCCTCCATTAACATTTTATTGAATTTATTACATATACAATAAATAGCCAAGACAAAAAAAAAACAAACAAAAAAAACCAATAAAAGTCTAGACAAATTATCTGAAACAAAATGACAGCTGCAATAACACCAATTATCGTCTCCTCCAATATTGAAGTAGGCCCTTAACATCTCCATAGAACACATTTAATTAGGCCCACACATGCAACTGTAAAAGACTTATGATGATGAACACTGTTAAAGAGTGCTTCTCCAACAACATTTAATACTATGTAAATCTGACATATTTTCCCACTTGGTAACCTAAACTGGATGTTTTACATTTACCACTCATTCCAAAGAGGGGAGTGCACACAGCCTGTCCTGCTTGGCAGGCATTCTTCGTAATTCACTTTTTAAATCACCTCACTGGGATTCACAAGTAATAGAAAAATAAAGTGTGACTTTTAAGATACTGCCTCGTATTTTTAACAATAATCTGATGTTATGTACATTGATCTTGTATTTATTTTTACCGAATGCATTCTATATCTGATAATATGCAGCAATGTGTTAACTTTTACACTAAAAGCTGAATTAAAAAAAAACCCAAAGAAAAAAACCCCGAAAAGCACATAATACTAAACAACTACAATTTATACAGAATATTATGCTTTATAAAGCGAATATATTGTCACACATTCTGAAACAGCTAAGGTTCTAATGTCCCAAATCCCCTCGAATCTCCCACCTGCTAAATATATATATATATATATATATATATATATATATATATATATATATATATATATACACATACACACACACACACACACACAAAAGATACACAAGATCCAGTGCACTCACTTATCCACTAAACAGCAACTTCAAAGCTCACAGATTTTATTAGTTTTTTTGTTTTTTTTGTTTTTTAAACACCTAATCTAGGCAAAAACAATGGGGGTTTAGTTACAGTATATGATCATACAATGCATATGCCTGCCACAATGTCAATGTACCCCATCTTTGGCAGGTTCTAATCTAGCAGCCTAATGTCTGCTCTTATGAGATTAACTCACTTACTTGGGAGGAGGAGGGGGGGGGATCTATCTGGAGTTCTCTGCAGTACAAGGCTAAATATGGCCCTGGACTGAGGCACCTGTGACAGGGAGGGGTGCAAATCCAAGGAGCTGGCCTACACACACACATACAGTATATGTACCAGGACCATTTCAGTGATTTGAAGAGGTCATGGTGGCTGGAATCTGCATGTGCAGCGTTTCGCTATGAAATATTGCGCATAGGGAATTTATCCTACACCTCCAGCAGTGTCACTGGGCTGTCATAAGTCAGTGGGGTAACCCTTTAAAGGACCACTATAGTGCCAGGAAAACATACTTGTTTTCCTGGCACTATAGTGCCCTGAGGGTGCCCCCACCCTCAGGGTCCCCCTCCCGCCCAGCTCTGGAAAGGGGAAAGGGGTTTAAAACTTACCTTTTCCAGCGCTGGGCGGGGAGCTCTCTGCCTCCTCTCCTCCTCCGATCTTCCTCCTGGGCTGAATGCACATGCGCGGCAAGCGCTGCGCGCGCATTCAGCCGGTTGCATAGGAAAGCATTTACAATGCTTTCCTATGGACGCTGGCGTGCTCTCACTGTGAAAATCACAGTGAGAAGCACGCAAGCGCCTCTAGTGGCCGTCAATGAGACAGCCACTAGAGGATTAGGGGGAAGGCTTAACCCATTAATAAACATAGCAGTTTCTCTGAAACTGCTATGTTTATTAAAAAATGGGTTAACCCTAGCTGGACCAGGCACCCAGACCACTTCATTAAGCTGAAGTGGTCTGGGTGCCTAGAGTGGTCCTTTAAGCTCACAGGCAGAGCCCTTTTATTCTATTTTATCAAGCACACCGTGGTTTGTGATAGTGCATCGCATAGGACAGTGCTGTACACACATTTTGTTCTGGTACTCATTGGTGAAATGTTGAATTTAAAATGTTTAGATAAACTCTAATAATACAACATTGTTTGTGTATTACTATGAAATGATGTTTTCCTTAAAATATAACACATGCATACCTTAGTTTACAACATCTCATATGGAGGTCACATACTACTAACTAAATCTTATACTGATAAAACTATAAGGTAACTAATAAAAAAAATAAAAAAAATAAATTGCACTTGCCATAAGTTAAGTATAATAAACTCAATACAGCACTTCTTGCAGATAGAAAATACAAATGGTTTCACATTGCATAACATGGTCTATTGCTCTGCTTTTTCTTAACTATTTACATAATGCACAGACCTTCCAAAAAGCAAAGATTGTGAGAATTGCTCATGAGAATTGCATCCCATGTAGATGCATTTATAAAAGGCAGCCATGGAATACATTAAACATACCAGCATTTACATTGAACTCTTTTACCATCTTAACAGCAATAAAAGAAGGTTTAAGTGCTATGTTTACCAAACCCATCTCGGTTTACTTTCCAGTTTAACAAACATTTACACGTCGACACTCTTTAAATCAATCAAAATATCGCAGATCAGTAGTAAATTAAATTCTACAAAGCCATCAATACTTTGACTTTCCTCTACTATACCCACCGATTTTATTTCTAAAAAAAGGTATCTACGGCAACATCATAGAAAAGAGAAGCGAAAAATGCCCATTCTAAATGTCAATAACAATCACGGTACATCTATCTTGTCCTGTGGTTCTTCTTCATCGCTGGATGAATGATCTGTGGAATCTGTATCACTACCCTGTGTTTCAACAGGGACAATAGACTTCTTCCTTGGAGGTTTCTTTTTCCTGACACACATTTGAGCACCCCCCCATACAAGCATAAGAAGAATTCCAAGAGCCACCAACCCGAGGATCAAAGGGATTAATAAGGTGTCAAACCAACTTTCTTCTTCATCATCTGACTGCCGTGAAGGGGAAACACTGATATTATACACATCAGTATACGTTTGAGGTGTTGATGACCCAGATGTACTAACAGTGCAATTTGCCCCAGTTTGATTACACAGACTAAAGGCATCGGAGCAATTGCATGAAAAATTGCTGGGAATTAGACAGTGCTGGAGACAACTCTTACTTTCTGTACATCCAAGGGCAGAACAAGAGCACTGAATATTCAGGCATGAATAAAAGCCATTTTCAACCTTACATGTAAGAGTTATATTTGTGTCAAATTCTTTGCATAAAATTGTGATTTTTGACATTTCAGGGAGGAAGTCCGGTATATTCTGATCTTTGAAAGAATGTATCATGGAAAAATTCCAAGAATAATGAGAACGGCAAATAGAAGAAAAGTTGCTGTTGCATTTAGAGTCCTTCCAAGCCCACAAATGATGTCCTTCCCTAGATTTAACAGGACCATTCCATTTCTGAAGCCCAACGCAGCGCCTTCTCATGCAGCTGGGTTTGGGATATTCTCCCCAATATTCAACTTTTGAGTCATTGCCTCCTGAAACCCAAGAGTAGCCTTGTGTCTTTTTTGATGGAACGACACACTCCTTGTTTTGTCTAATTAAACCAATCCAAAATGCATCAATGTCTGGTTTGTTTTCAAATGCACTTGCAAGTTGCAAGATTTCGAAAAGTTCTTGTTCATCCTTCATAGTAGCCAGTGATCCTCTAGGTCCACATTCAGTGTTTGCATCCATAAATATCAGTTTCTTGGTTTGGATCATGTAACAATTTCCCGAGTGATGAAAGCACAGTATGTCTTCACCAAGAAGCATTGGTGCCATGCATAGACACACAGCAAGGATTATACACGTATGCTTCATGCCTTCGGTTTCTCCAGCACATATTAACACAAACATCTCTCTGCTTTCATAGATACTGAGATTCAGGAAACCTGGGAGGATACAAGTTTTTCAGCTAATGAATACAACTGTGAGAAACAGGAAACATGATGTAGGGGAACCAGGGGGAGCGAAGGATGTGCTAATGATCTAACTTAGTTATGTTCCCGGACTGGGAATAACAGAATGGGCCAATTTTAGGTTGTGCACAAGGCATAGTGGGGTCATTCGTAGTTACTTTTTCTTTTCTTGTTTACAAAGAATTATGGAAAATGTACGTAAGAACCCATTGCAGACACCAACAAGTAATGGTGACAAAAAATGTATATCATAACTTTTCTGGGTGGTGATGTATATCATCTGTGGAAAGGTCAAACCTTTTGTAGAATGCGAGTAGATTTAGCAATCTTTTTACAACTAATGCATAAAAATGTTACTTACATACCTCTGTAACTATATATATTTTAATTCTATCTTTCATTTTGGAGATAGTACTCAATACAAAGAACGATTCATTGTACATATAAAAGCACAAAACAAGATATTTCAGTTTTTGAAAAGTTATAAAAAGTGCAAGATTATAAAACGATGAATAATGGTTAACGTCAGAAAAACTAGAAAAAATAACCGTCAGGAGCAACAAGACTAGAAGAAAAATCCACATAATAAGCACTACAACGAGTTACGAGAGTTCTGCTGCACAGTCGGGACCAGCACGTTTTGGCTCAGCCTAGGCCAGACAGACTGCGGGACAAAGAAATGTGGAAGACTCAGAGACCATTGCGAGACCGATTTTGCCATCAATGAGAGAACAACGCAAGCCCCAACAGTATTCAGTAGAAGAGCCCCAAAGGAGTTTAGTTAAATTGTAGTGTAAGTTGACTCAGGTTTGAAAGAAAAAAAAAAAAAAGTTGGTGGTCTTCAGAGATAGACAGTAACTGCAATAAGTGTTTGGAAGTCAATTATAAATGTCCCTAGGAATATTGTAGGCTACGTCAATATCTAAACCATTCCCCATCATGGCCAGCAATAAAGAGAACAGATGTTAAAGAAAATGGGGTAATTCCCTTTTATCAATTGATTCAGAAATACCTTTGATATAAAAGTTAGTTCTACAGCTACTGTCATCCAGGGAGTTAACTTGCAGAGTCAAGGCAGTGTGGTATTTTTGTAGTTTTGCCAAGATAGATTTAGTAGAAGAAAGGGTTTTATAAAAAGGTCTATGAGGATTATGGGTACACTGTGTCCAACCAGTACATCCAACGTACTTCCTTCTGGTTGGACACAGTGTCCCTTCATGGTGGCAATGAGAAACCGGAGTGGCACTAGTTCCTCTAAGTTTTTCTAAAAAGGTAGAGTTTACATTGAAAAGCCTGCAGGGACAGGCTATAGACACCAGAGCCACTACATTAAGCTGCAGTTGTACTGGTGACTATAGTGTTCCTTTAAGAATTGTATTGATATAATTGAAAAAAAAAACAGGCTCCTAACTTTTTTAGCTGGCTCCTAGATCAAAAGCAAATTTGTCAAGTCCTGATCTAAATAAATCCATGTCTGTTGGCTTCCATACAGATCACAAAGCGTTAGGTTGTGCCATGGAGAATCCTACAACACAAGGTCTGTAAACTCCTGATGTCACCGGACGCAAAAAACAGGAAACCCACAAAAGGTTGATTTGAAAGATGTATTACCGAGATTTGGCCGGACTTAATGTATTAAATTACTGAGAATCAAGGTCAAGAACAAATCAAGGTCAGGGATACAGAATTATACAAGGTCAAGAGAAAGCCAGGTCAGGATACCAGAAATCCCAAGTCAAATACGAAGCCGAGGTCAAACACAGGAAATCACAATGGAATCTCTAGGAGCACTAAACGAGGATCGAACAATTAACCACGATAGGACAATGAATGGAGGTTAAAACAAGCCTTTAAAAGTCTCAAAACAGTCTCAAGACCCTAAACAGCATTGGGTCACCTAGATGACATGGTTCCTTTAAGGTCATGACGTCATGGCAATATTTTATTAAAGGGGCTGCAGTTTGTCCCGTGAACCAGCAGAGTGAGCCGTTGGCGGAACTGCAGATAAGCAATCTATTCTGGCCACATGGATCATTCGGGCCACGCTGCCCAAAGACTAAGGCAATGCGGCCACATGAAATTTTTTCCCATTTATGCCAGGTTATGCAATCCCAGGACAGGTTCTAGTATGAATGCGACTGCACATAGATATATTGTTTGCCTGAGAAAGTGTGCATTCATCACGAAACACGTTAGGTGATTTTATTTCAGTTATTTATATTTCTTGGCGATTTAGGCAGCATGCATTGTTTTAACTCGTTTTTAATGAGACTCTTTAATGTGCTGTAGTTTTTCCTTATGTTTCTTTAGCGTAAATTATGTTAGCTAGCTCTCTTCTGCAGTATTGTGCTAGTAGAGAATACAACTATAATCTTTTTTTTTATTTTAAGTAGATTTCTTTCACTATTAACAAATGGGTTGGAGTCGGTGTTTATGTTAGAGGGATGGGAAAAAGAATTACAAATTACAAGAAACTCTTTGTAGGTGCAGAGTGAAATGGAACCTCTTGATAACACAACCAGTACAAAGTGCATAGACTTCTACTGTGCTACGAGGGTCTCTCTAAATGAATCATCCATCATGTGTTTGTATTACAAAAAAGGTATTGGAATGTATTAATCTCATCAGTTATTTTATGTGTGCATCACTGGACTAATACGGCTACAATTTCTACTCTAATACAAACACATACATATTTTTATTGAATAATTTATGTTGGACATGGTTACTAGGTAAGCCTAGAAAAACATTCTCGGAGAGAAAAAAAATGTTGCATAGCATTTCCTGACCTAGGCAGAGTTGATGGGTGGATGTAAAAAAATAAATAAATAAATTGTAAATCTCTCCATGACAAGTAGCTCCCGGGTCATACAACATACATTTATAGCAGACACGCAGATATATGGAAGTGTTAGCATATCACTTCAAAAATAGCCTCAGCCCTTATCAAATATGTATAGCATACAGTTTAGCAACCAGAAACAAGGCTTGTAAGATAGGAGATTTGAAAAGTGTATTCAAGGAACAGTTTAGGCACAATAACAACTTCATCTAAATTACGTTTTTACGGTGCCAGGAGTTAGGCTGGGTTTTACGATGCCAGAAGTTAGGCTACATTAAGGGGTTAAATCGTTCTGGCATGGTGGAAGGTTGCCTCCACCGCTGATCTCCAGTTCCCATAGGGGGGATCTGGCTTCTGAATTTCGAGGCATGAAGTGCTGCCGAGCAGGGGCGCCACTAATTGGCTAGAGCGGACAGCTGGCGCTCTAAGCCAATCCGTAGCTCCCCATTCATATAAAAAAAAAAAAAAAATAGAAAATATGTACGTGATCTTGTGGACCTCAGTGTTCTACAGTTTTTCTACAGATAAACTGCCAGGAATGTTTGACCTTATGTTAATAATTAACTTAATTATTATGTTTTATTCATGTTCGGGCTTAGTTTGCTGGATAATATTTTTCAATAAGGTATCATCTCGCATATTTAATTTAGATTTGGCAACCGCATATTCTTTTACATATTGTGTATGATTATTTCCCCCTTTTTTGTTATTTTTTATTTAAGGGTAAATAAAGGAAAGGATAACTAAAGAATAAGAGGGTAAAGAGATTTAAAGGAACTTAAAAGGACACTAGTCACCAGAACCACTACAACTTAATGTCGTGGTTCTGGTATCTATAACTTGTCCCTGCAGGCTTTTTAACCCCTTAAGGACTGGACTGTTTTTGCGATGTTGTACATTTGCGACCAGGCATATTTTTACACTTTTGTGGTGTTTGTGTTTGGCTGTAATTTTCCGCTTTCTCATTTACTGTTCCCATACAAATTATATATTGTTTTTTTCAGGACAAAAGGGGCTTTCTTTACATACCATTATTTATATAATCTCATGTATTTTAATTTAAAAAAAATACAAAAAATATGATGAAAAATTGAAAAAAATACATGTTTTTTGACTTTTACTTGAAAAATCTTTTACTCATCTACAAAAGCGAATGAAAAAAACTGCTAAATAGATTCAAAATTTTGTCCTGAGTTTAAAAATACCTAGTGTTTACGTGCTTTTTTGCTTTTTTTTGCATGTTATAGGGCTATAGGTACAAGTAGGATATTGCGGTTTCAAAACATACATTTTTTAAATTTATCAATAGTGACATTGTAACACTATTATCTGTCATAAATCTCTGAATAACACCCCACATGTACATATTTTTTTTAAAGTAGACAACCCAGGGTATTCAATATGGGGTATGTCCAGTCTTTTTTAGTAGCCACTTAGTCGAAAACACTGGCCAAAGTAAGCATTCATATTTGTTTGTGTGTGAAAAAAGTAAAAAAACTAAATTGAGCGCTAATTTTGGCCAGTGTTTGTGACCAAGTGGTTACTAAAAAAGACTGGACATACCCCATTTGCAATACCTTGGGTTGTCTTCTTTTGCAAATGGTATGCCATCATGGGGGTAATTCTCATTCCTGGGCTACCATACGCTCTCAAAGGCAACGTAACCAACCTGGCCATTTTCAATGTAAAAATATTTGACCCATATATTTGACCTTGTAACTTTCAAAAATGCTATAAAACCTGTACATGGGGGGTACTGTTTTACTCGGGAGACATCGCTGAACACAAATATTAGTGTTTAAAAACTGGAAAACGTATCACAACAATTATATCATCAGTAAAAGTGCTGTTTGTGTGTGAAAAATGCAAAAAAAGTCAACTTTCACTGACAATATCATCGCTGTGATATGTTTTACTGTTTTGAATCACTAATATTTGTGTTCAGCGAAGTCTCCCGAGTAAAACAGTACCCCCCATGTACAGGTTTTAGGGTGTCGTAGAACGTTACAGGGTAAAATACAGTGCTAGCAAATTAAATTCTCTGGAATTTCGGCCTGGGTTGGCAGGCAGGTCCCTCAAATTGCAATCAATAAAATTACTGAATTATGTAAAAA